TGATCAGATTCATTTGAAAACCAACTATCAAAAACCTAAATAAGCAACTCACAATAACAGAAATATGTAGTATATAATAGGTGTTRTTAGTGTAGTTTTAATATATTACACTTCAGGGAGAAAACTATTTTCTTTCTGCCTATGGTGCATTTGTGTCACACCGTCAAATGTTTGGTTAAAAAAAACTGAACAGAACAAGCTCCCACTGGCACATGATAACATGCTTAAAGGGGTTTTAGCTTCAAATAAACAYTGAATATCTTCAGATCTGTGATGAAAGCACGGGAATTAACGATGATTGTCACATGCCAGAGACTCCAGGGCCTGTTGCTGATACATTCAGCTTTCAGATATGCAATCAGCCACATGTCTTGCTTCAGCACTTTCTCTTATTTTCTACTGACACCATAAGCATAACATAGCTACATTTATTCTTGCCAAAAATAACTGGCTATCAGGCAGGTTCTTTCTTTTCTAAAATAGTTTTTGAGTCTGATTGCTTTTAAAAAAAAATACTGACAAAATTCAGAAAAATAAGACTAGTTGCTTTGAAAGACTAGAATGCACCTGGGATTTTTTAAACTTCCAGTCTCCTTGTATAAACATAAGTAAAAGCTGGGGGGTCCTATCCCTGAAATACCATCACCTCTATTAAACTTCAGATCCGGTAATAATAGGGGTTTTTTTTAATACTGAAGCAGGTTGCCTAGAGAGTTTGTAATATGGTCATCCTTTCTTCCTCAGACAACTGTGCAGGGTAGATGGAGATAMCCAAGATCCTTGGAAGATCCCTGCAAAACTGGGGTAGATGCCAGRTTCCTGGAATCGCCTKTCATTAATCCAGAGAGTCTCTGGAAGACTGTACTGGCCCCARGATATCATGAGTTAAGCATTTTAGGCTTCACTAATTAGCGCTTGCTGTAATTTTACTCTAGGGTCTCATTTTCGCTGGAAGTAATGGCAGCTGTTCCCTCTCCAGAGGAGCCTTCAATCTTGTGCAGAAAAATATCAAGAGTCACTATAAAAGGGGAGAGACATTTKGTCTGCTACCAGTACAAAACCTTAGCTCTTTGTGAGAAACTGGAGCATGGGATATTACAGTAATTAACCACGACCATCAATTTTCCCTGGTCATCAAGGGGGCAATGGTCAACCTCTGACCCTGGGAAAGTTTTGCTGCTTTTTTTACAAAACAAATAAAATTTATGTACTAGTGGTTATCAGATGTAATATCATATAAATTAATATTACTCTTGCATTACAACATGTTGCATCAATTTGGAACCAGCATTGAACCATATAGCTATAATTGAAAAGGTGCCACTAATATACCTTAAACAATAATACACAGCTAACAGAAAGAATAGTGACAAAACGATATTTAGAATGTGCACTAGCTTGGCACAAATCTACCATAAATTCAATTTAGAAAGTATAATTTTACATAGAGTGTACTTGCATCACAAATTAATTTGAAAAAAATTTATAAAAACACATCATATTTGAGAAATTAGATAAAAATTAGCAGAACTTGCAATAAAAATTAACTTAGAATAATCATTATGAGTCTGGCTTGGCTATAAAAGAGTCATAAAAATCTAAAGATACTTCCTACACTGTCTCTTACGTATTGAGAAATTTATTGAGTCACACAAAGAAGTAGAAATGAATTAGTCATTTAGTGAGTAGTCAAGGAATTGGATAAATATTTGACTCSGTAGGAAACAGTGCAATACTCCCTAGGAATCTAACTTCTGTTGGATAAAAAAAGAAACACCCTCAGGGGATTTTAGGGAAACCTAAGGAGAGTTAAAACTGAGCAATGCAATAGCAGAGTACATTCAAAAAAGCTATTGGAATGATGAAATGAAATTGCAAAAGATTATCATATATTTTAAATTCACTGGATCTTGGTGTCATTCTAGATACCTCAGAAAAAAATGCTTAGAAACATTATTGCTCACAGGTTAACAAATGCAAAGAAGATCCCTACARCGTCATGCACACCTCATAAATCTTCTGGATGGTCAATTTTTCTCTGCAGATTGTCTTGCACACTAGCCAAGGTATTTGAAAACTGTGTAATAAAAACAGTTTAAAAGAGAGGAACCGAAATAAGAAGATATGGAAATGTCTGAGTATGAGAGGGATCAGCAGATGAATAGGAGGAGKGATGTATCACAGATATGCCTCACATATTGTGTTCATTAATTGGCATATATGACAAAAGTCATATGCTAAATACAGAGCTTGGGAGGAAACTTCAAAGGACAAATTTTCCATAAATATATTTCTTTTTCCCTCTTTATAATACCTCTCTATATTGACTATTCTCTGAAAAAGACAGTCTTCTGAAGAGAAGAATGGATGCATACCAATATTTCTAYCTTTCAGAAGAGGAAAAAATCTACAATAACTAAAATATGCTTCTCAAAAGAACTGATGCAAGAATTACACTGATGGCCCATGATCTGCCTCAGCACATTACAGAGAGCACAGATGGAAGTTCAGATGTGGATTAAAGCTCTTTCTGCACATTACAATGCTTTTCCAGCATCTTAATGAAACTCCCCTTGAGATATGAACATTAAGCTATGTTCCTTCTGGCCTGCTCTTCATCAGAAGGAAAATTTCTGCCCTCAGAYTGTATTAATGACTCTGCTGATGACACACAAGATGAAACAAAGCACAGCTCATTCAATGAAACCAGCATTTACTTTTCTAGGCTAGGAGAAACATATTAAAATAGGCGATGACAGCTAGTTGTGTTAGAAAATTAATGATACAAGGCTCAAAGTACTGATTGCATATCCATAAGAGGTTTCATGTTCAAAGGGGGAACATTTGATTGAACTGAGTTTATATTTAGAAAGACGGGATCTGTTCCTCTCAAGCATTACGTTAGATTTTGATTAATTTCTTTTAAAAAGCATTGCATATTTTCTTTCTTTTCTTTTCCTGCAATACTTAGCATGTATTTGAACTTCACTTAAAAAAAAAAAAAAACAACAAAATTAACCAACAAAACAACTCTAATATTTAAAAGGCAAGAAATGTTTGGYTTAAGTACTGACTGAGCAAACTGGACTAYCAACTGTTGGAAATCTTGCTTTCCCTTATTTTGAACTGAACTGAAAACACTTGAATTCTTTGTGAACCCTTGTGGATGTATTTTGGTCTTTGCAGTAAGAACAGCATGCTGGGCATGCCCATCTTTACTTGTCTTGCAGCAATCCCCCCCAATAATGGGCAACTCAGGACACTATAGACCTTCTAAACAGGGAGAAGATCAGTAATTGTCTACAATGTGACATAATTCCTGTTGTCTAAATCAAAGGTCCTTTTAACAATGAACAACTGTATCTGCAGTTTGATCAGAACAGAAGCAAGAAAAATGGAACAATGAAAACCCATTAATCAATTCAGTCACTTTTTTTCTGGTATCTTGCACTGCACCTCAGTATTACTGCATCTGGCAAAGCCCCGGGCATGGCCTTCCAGATTGTTTCAGACCTCAGGTATGCAGCTAGTGCAGATTCCCATCATAAAGCTCCTTGGACATAATTAAAAAGTTAGCTGACCRGATGCTCAAAACAAGGTGTAATGGGTTTGTCAGCTTCATTTTGGCATGGCTACCATATGCTGTCACCTGAAGGAGTGTCAAATTAATCTTGAGGACATATATGGGGAGAGGAGGTGAAGGTTTCTGCTGGTCTGAAAAAAAATGAGCTCCTCAAACAATTAACTGTTACACAGCTTTGGGTGCAAACATTCTCGCGTTACTTCCAGCATGCTTAGTACTCTGAAATTAAGAAAATCTAGAACTCTCAACAGTCTCACCAGTGACTGAGAAAGAAAAACTGAAACCATGTAGGCTAGCTAGAAAACAGTCAAGTGAACACTGATGCAAGAGAGTTCTTTCAAGTAGCTTAGCCATACYGCTCCTTTTCCTACTCTTGAATCTGAAATGCTCTTATCCTTCAGAATTAAAAAAGTAGTGGCCATTAGTACAGAGTGATCTTATCATGCTTGATAGCTGTATTTTTGTTCTAGTGCTTTTTTCAAACACTTTAGAATCATTCTAATATTTGAGYTCCCTATAGCAGGAGTTCCACAATTAATGTGCTTAACTTTTCATTCCCAGACTCCCTTTTGATGCTTGTCTTATTTGTTTGTACTTGTGCTGACATCATCTTTCACACAGAACTTCCTCTTCCTTCCTGAAGCTTATGTGTATCCTAACTACCTCAATAAAMTAAATTTTATAGCAGAATCCTGAGAGTATTTCCAAAATGCTCAAATCAGTGCCGAATAGAGATAACCAAGACAGTTTAATGTGCTATTTGAGTGCCAAAARCAGCACAGCAGCCTCCCTTGGCTCRGGAGGATAAATTAACCCAAATGAAGAATGASAGTGACAGAATATTTTTATGTAGATGCATATGGTACCTTCAAACCGTACGAATTATAGGTGATTGTATAGAGCGAGATCTACCCAAGATTGCTACCCTGGAATCAAATCACAACACTGATTCTTTCTTCTCATTTACAGGGAAGTGCACATTCATACCATGCCTTGTTGCAGCTCTTTAGTGAGAAATCCTGCTTGGCACATGCAGTTGATCAAACCAATCTGGTGCATGAACAGGCACAAGCTGTCACAAGGCACAGCAGTCCTGCTTTATATTACTGGGATCAACTTCTCATATAATCAGTGTGCTAAGTGCACATCTGCACAAGAACAGCAACTACAGACACTCACTGACCACATGCCCTGATATGAACCATCTCATCATGGCACCCCACATACAAAACCAGCAGAGAGAGGAAAAAGCTTCAGATTATTTCAATACTCTCCTATAAAAGAGACTAGAGAGCTCCAGGAACTTGCTCTGGAAGAAGATTTTCCACAGGAAGGGGTAGGTATGTTTTGGTAACTAAACTAAACTAAAGTTTTAGTACACTGAGATGGGTCCTTTTCACAAGCCATTGTTTTCTCTTTATTCATCTTGGCAACCAGACCAAGTAGAGCTCAGTATTCCCACTGAGGGGATATCAACTGTCCCTGGAGTAACAACAGGATTAGGGTGCAAGTTAGCTGGCACTAGAGGTAAATAYGCTAGACAAAATTTAAGGCAAGTTCCACATTCTGAAATATCAAGGGAAAATTATCTAAAAAACGAGAAATTTCAAATATTAAACTTCTGCAACTCTGTTGAAGAGAGAGTTGTAGGAAGATTTCCTGAAACTTGTGCTTCTTTGTGCCTGCRTACAGTGGAAATTACAAAGATTTGTCTGTGTGCTGAGGAACAAATAGAAGGGATGCAGAGGGAAGCAGAGCTGTGCTGTGAATTCTACAAAGGTTTTTATTTTTTTCAAAAAGTCATACATCTTGGAATCCCTAATCAGCTTGTCCCTTCAGAAACTTGTCATAGAAGGCAATAATAAATCATTCAGGCATTCAGACATTCACTCCTTAAGTCCCACTGAGGGATGCGTATCTAGAGACTGCTATGAATCTACACAATACAGAAAATAAAACTGAGTTATGTAACAAACTAATCATACAGGACATGTCCTGACTGATGGTAATAGTGGTACTAAAATTGTTCAAGGGAAAGATTGTAATTCAGTATGAATCTAAAGAAATAAACCTTTGTTATCAACATAACCAAAAAGGTTGACAAAACTATAAAACATTATTTTAACATTCCTCTATGGGATTTTCCATCTGGCAAGAAACTCCAAAGAACACACAGAGAAAATGTGATACATTCACATTCTGCTTTGTCCTATGTAAACTCCATCTCCATAGACAACAGTACATGTCTGATGGCAATACACGTACATTTCAAGTTTAGAAGGGTTCTGAGGTAATAGATCAAAATTAGGAGGAATATTTGCAAATCAAAGTGTATTTGTAACTTTGCCACAGAGCAGGGCCTACTGATACCCTCTCTCTTTAAATAAAAACCGTAAAGCATAACTTACATGCATTTAGGAACTGTCTAGCTGTTAGGGAATGCAAGGTTTGAAGTGATTTCCCTGTTTATTAGAGTTCACTTTCTTTGGATATTGCTGTCACAGGACCAACCAATTTTATGTGGTAGGTTTAATTAGTATCTTTGGACTTAAACCAAAATTTTAGTAGGTATCCTTAAATCTCTGGAATTTTTAAGATCACACACCTTTCCCAGAACTTCAACAAAACAACAGCAGATTGCCACAAGAGAAGTTTTATGCAGTAACTAAAGATAGCTGAGGTGCATAGAGTTCAGTGACAAGTGCTCATTAGCAGGAAAGCTCACTCAGGATTTCTCTGTCTCTTGTTCAGTTGAATGTGTATTTATTCCACACACCCAAATTAAACACACRACTGTATATTTCTGTCCAGGTTCACTGATATACATTAAAAAAAATAAATAAAAAGTGCAATATAATGATAGCATTTTGGAGGAAAAGGAGATATTTACATGACAGATGTTTTTAAAAACTTTTTCCTGGGTAAAAAGAAAAATACACCCTGGGTTAGCTGAAATTCAAATCTGTTTTGTGACTGTGGATCACTGTATAATGATCACTATAGTTTGTACAGTGCATATTTTATAAATATATATTTATAAACAGAAACCAATACCATCACAACAATGTATTTATTATGAAGATATTCAACCGTGTTATTCTTCTATCACTTTAAAAGGGAAAAGGGTGATAATCTTGTTTCTAAATAGATAGAGAAAACAATACATTTTCCTTTCACTTCTGAATAACACATATCCTGASTCTTATAGATTGTAAAGATTGAAATATATMGTGGASATCCTTTTWAAAATGTTTTTAAAACATTTGCATAGTGTGGCTTTGGATTACAAAACTGTGAAGGTATTCCCATTAGCAGACAGCTCTCAAGCTTTTTCCAATGAATCCAGAGCATGAAAACAACTTCTCACAGTAATATTGGACCTCAAAATTAACTCACCTGACTTTTGTTTTCCACGTATTTCTCCATGTATTTGTTTTGTCTGTTAAGAAGGTTTATGGTTTTAACATTGGGACTGCTGGATAAGGTGAGCAATAAAAGGAAAATGAGATTTACAGTAGTTGCACCATTTATTTTTATTATGAAACAGAGAGGCATTACCAGGCTACGTGSTATAAACTCAGATGTTCAGAGATTGCTGGGCATGTCCCCATGCTGTGCACCTCCACCAGAAAACTGTAGTAGAAAATTGCATTTTTGATTCTCATTTGCAATGTCAAGTGATTGTAGAAATTAACATTGCACAGACTGGTATGAAAATCTCCTGAGTTTGTGACTATGGTATCAGCTRAAGAGGCTGATTCTAACCAAATAACAGAGTAAATCTGCAGAAGACTTTATGTCATAAGTCAGCAGTGCAAGAGAGAAAACCAAAAATTCCCTAAATATTTGATCCAACTTAAATTTCTTATACCAGTTACGGAGCAATTGAACAACCTGATAGAAATCAGAATTAAACTGTGCCTACCAGTCACATACAAGAATAGGGCATCAAGGCAGCACTTACAGCTAGAGAATATCAGAGGACACGAGTGTTCGTCCATGGGGAAGTTGTGCAGCTGCAGYTGGCACTCGGCATTGATGGTCAGCCTGCAAAGAAACCAAATATTTGTTACTGTGTGCCAGTGCAAGGCACAGGCAGAGGAGGAGGCAGGGTGACCTTGAGTCTCATGCGAGAACACTTTGACATCCACAAGCAAGGCTTGAAGGGAAAGAATCTTTGCAGATTGTTCATTGGCTATTTAAGCCTGATCCAAAACAATGATAATTTTCTAAAATAATTTCAGACACATSTTCAAGTGTTCCTTGATCCCAGGAAACTGGTGCATGTTTTTCTCTGGATAACTCATCACTGAAGGTTCTGGGATRTAAACAACTATTCTTTACAAAAATAACAGGAAATAAGGCTTGTGTGGTATATAATTACATAAAATTAAAACCTCAGAAGGAATCWTTTAAGAAACATACTCCACATGTACTTATTGTGTGAACTTAAAATTCTTTCAGTCTCTTCAGGTTGTCTCTCCAAAACTTGGTAAATCTCTGTATTGTGCACATGCAACGAACAGATCAGCAGAAACATCTTCATCCCTACTTGAAAGTTGGTTTTACAAAACAAAGTATACTATGAATGGAGCCAATTTTAAAATTACTAACACAAATCAATAATCTTCATTCTAATAGCTTACCAAACAAATGTATTTGGTCAGTGAAATTGAATTAAGTGCTAGTTTATTGTACAGTATTTTTAAAGAAATACTACATAATTTAATGATGGAATTCATGCATGTGGGCTATGTGGGTTTTCCCTTTTGGAAACAAAATAAAAAGCTAAAAAACTCAGTGGGGAAAGGTTTGAATCTCAGATGGAGGATGACACAGAGAAAAACTCTGTCTTGGAAAAGGTCACTTGTGAGGAATTTAATAGTCCCATTGCACTGACACTAGAAGAGGTTTTACAGTGTTGCAGCAGGAGGGCATTCACACCCCAAAGCGGGCAGGGAAGAAGAAGAAGAAGAAGAGGCACAGACCGTGGCTGAACCTTGCACACTTTCCCCTGCACTCATAACACCCATCAACACCTGACAGCACCACAGCATGCAGCAGTTACCTATTCCATGTCGTACCAATTCTGACACTTAGGTCAGATAAATTGGTTTTGAATTACTGTGTTAACAATGAGCAATGATCATTCTAACAGCTTTTCTTGCATGAAAAGGAGGTTGACCTGAATGATCAAAAAGGACTCAAAACATCTTTCACAAACTAGAAATRCTCATTCCAATGGATCAAGTATTAACTTATTTTTAGCCGTTTTAGACAAATTTTGCAGTCCATTCGCCAAATAGTTTCTTTAATGAGAGGTATGTAACTCTAACTACTATAACTTGGCCTGAAATACTGAAACAGAACTTAATAGAAAAGAAAAAACAAAAAAACACACAAAAAAAACCAAAAAAAAAGAAACACCTTACCAAAATCTCCTCAGCAAAAAAACCCAACAACCTAAACTAAGAGAATATTGAAGCTGACATCTTAATCCCCAAACTCTTTAGCTAAAGACAACTGAAACAAGCAAGAGCTCTTCMTAGCAGAGCAAGCCTAAGAAAGAAAGGGCACTAAAAATATCAGTTTTTCCAGCTGTTTGTTTTCTTTTTTTGTTTGCCAAAGACTTTGCATCAGAGCCCAACTGCTGTTGCAAGCATGATCAGAATGTGAAGTTGCACTGAAAGGGCTGAACACAATCACAGAAGAAAGTGTAGCATGAAAGGGATGTTTCTGAAACAGTTTCCCTTGTGGAACATGGCTTATGGTAAAACTCCCTTCTGAACAACTCATCTCTTCCACAAATAAACACATATTTTGATTTCCATAGGCTTTTTGAAATGCAAATATATACAGTATTTCTACTACCATATAGTTGATTTTATCACAAAGATTAGAAAATGGTAAAGTCTTTCCTCCAGAAATTCACCCTTGTGATGAGATGTGACAGACTATCTTTCAGCATGACTTATTTGAAGAATCAAGTATTGGCATTAACATGAATCAAGAAATGCTTTATCCAGCCCTGCATCTAACTCTGATCAGAAAGGCTTTTGACAGGTTTTATGGGACTACATATTCCCCATTTCATTACAAGCACTAAAAAGCCCAACTTGTACAATTTAGACAGACAGACCTATTTCCTATTTCTCAAGGTTTCTTTCTTAGAAAGGCAAGACTTCTTTTTTTAAAGATGGCAGTACTTATACCTGAAAAATTAGGTATTTGTAAAGCACAGCCAGGTGAGCATCAGGAAGAAAACAGTAGAGGAGAGCAAAGATASTAAAAATTACCACTTGTACACCAGACGTGAAAGAAGCCATCAGCCCCACACCTCRCCAAGTGCTCACCTGAGGGTGTACAAGATCTTGCCATCATTCCATATGCGGAGGAGCTGGTTGGGGGTGGTGATCCAGTGAGCCTCCGCTGTCTTTGAGTTACGRAATATCGTGTCTGGGATCCAGATCAAGCCAACCATGTTGCTGTTCAGGGTCAGTATTTTCATGGTGCTGTTGAAGCGAAGACGGCTATCTGTCCACGTCTGGGCAAAAAATATATCAATTTGATATTCCTGCAAAGAAAGCATGAGACATCCGTTGAAATCACTTCCACACTTCCCACTATTTGGTGTTTGATTAGGTCTGTTTTGATGTAGAGCAACAGGGAATGTTCTGGCCAAWGGAGCTATGTTTCCCTTTTTTACTGCCTGAGGATTTTTTTTCCATTTTTTTCACCATTTTTTWAAATCTCTTGCTGTTTAATGAAACATGCCAAACATCTCACTTCCATTGGTCCTGTGCCATAACAATTTCAGCATTAGACACTTTTTTAAATTGTCTCTGAAAAGTCCCAGCTACAAGGTATAATTTGCAGAGGCCTCTCTGTTGTAGGACAGATAAGAGACATGAAATATGAACAGGACCTACATACGTAAGATAGAAAATGGTAAATTCCCCTGCTCATAGAAATGCTTTTTAGGAAGGAGGTTGTGTAAATTCAATAAATTAATTGTTCTGTTTGTGGCCAATTGTGGCTACCACACTGCAGCAGAATGAAAAGGCAGGTTGGTGTTCCTTTATAGACACCTCCTGTACCCCCAATGCAAAGAGCTGAACAGTTGTCTCCAAACAGGCCAATACCTCAATTTACATTAAATTTGTYCTTTCTTTCAGTCCATGTTTTATTACTCTGTTTCTGTAGGTAAGCCATCATAGCAGGTATAAATGCAGAAATTAAAATACACATGGACAAACAGACAAAATTATATAGGTGAACATATAAGCACACTGATCCATGCATTCAAGGCCCCATGGAAAAAATGTATTTTAATTTTGTTTTTTAATTCAGAATTCAAGCCACTAGAAGCTGGAAAAGGACATGCTTCATTTTCTTGTGTTCCTCTTCCTCCTTTCAGATTTCTCTATGTTTGAACCACATGGAAACAGCCATCTGATGCGATCATGCAATACCTTCTCATTATCACAGGGCTGGCTGCATCCATSACAGGGATGATGTTTGCTGATGGGGCACAAAGCGTATGCTCAACAAAACAGGCTAATACAGGGGTTGGTAATAATCCAAAGGAAAACATGCCTTTAGGACCCCTGGTACATGCATTCCTGGTTTATCTGAACAAAGGAGAATTAGGGTCATGTGATGACTTTGACAAAGCTGAACTTGCTTTTGTTTCTTTTTTTTTCCTCTCTCTATTGTTTCCATACAGTAGTTTTGGGTATTTTTTTTTCTTTATAAACAGTTAGCAGAGCTTGCAGTCTGAACTGAGAACAGTGTTTTTGCTAAGAGTCCCCTGTCTCTCCTGAGCTATTACATTTTTGGCAGGCCATCCCTTCAAAGCTGATATTATAACACCAGGAAACCTAATTCCCTGGCACTGTAATCCAAGTCCAAAACACACTCTGGGCTTCTCATCTCTAGATGTTAAATGCTCAAAAGGTGCATAAGTGGTACTGGCATGTAACCAGCACCAGGTAACAGATCACCTCAGGAATTACAGCCTAGCCACCAGAGGCATTAAGGTCCATGTTCCTTCATAGCTTCTCTCACTACCATTTCTCATTGTACCATTAGCTTTATTTTCTCAGGGAAGAAGACAGATGTGAATCTGAAGAGACATCTCTTTCATATCAATGACATATCCACCCATCTGAAGGATGAAATATAGTGTAGACAGTGTACCTCTATTATTCAGAAAGAAAATCCTTAATGCACCACGTTTTGATAGCAAAGCCCTGATCTTCTTTCTTTACAATCAGCTGCATTTTAGCCTTTAGTCTAGTGACAAGTGTTTGGCACATTCAGCTCCTGCAGAGAGGAATATGCCAGACATGTCTATGGGTTTCTCCAAATGCTGAGTGAGTAGAGTTGCTTTTTCTAGCCCACATGTGAGAATCTGTATTTATAGAACCAAAGACCATTTGTATGCAGCTGGCTAATGACAGTGCTGTMTTTTCACAGGACAAGTTTTTGCATGATATTCATATTTGAGCCTATTTTATATGAATGCTTCATTTTGACTAAATTTAGGAGTAACCATAATTCCTTTCTAGTATATCATGCAAATTTAATGATCTTTAGGATTTAAGATAGTCARGATTTCTACCCTGCCAAGAGAAAAGAAAGCCTGAGCTCCTTAATACATTACCCTGACAAGGTATTGCATCAAAATCTGAGCAAAGTGGACCCCAGGAGCCGTATAAATGTAACATTGTGGTTTCTACTCCAGCAAGCTACTCTGGCTGAGAAGTAGATTATATTAGCCTAGAAACAGGATCATGCAAACACCATTGCCCCCTGCCCAACTCCCTTTTTGCATCTTCTTTATATATTATTCAAAACACCTGTGCAATGGGCTACTCCATTTGCCTTAATAAAAAAATTTGAAGTCGAATTAAATTGTTCCCAGATTTTCTGAGTTAATTAGCTCTGTAAAAAACTGCATTTTTCTTTTGGCAAACTGAGGTCATAAAAGGAAAGTAACATTTTAAAAAGGAAAGTCATTAAAGTTGGTTGAAGTTATTGCATTGACTTTTTAAACACTTTACCCCCACTTTTTCTTTTTTTTATTTTAAGTAATTACAGTACTCAGTCAAAATGTGAAAACCACAAAACCAAAATTTTTCCAATAAAAATAAATACACATCTCCATTTAATATCTAAATTGAAATTCTCACCACTAATCCCTTTTAGAAATGAATTATATCAGTACATCATTTACATCAACCTTTGGAATTTCTTCAGTCTTTAACCAAGAAGATAATGGGATATGATATTTATATAGCCCCTCTACAATGAAGGGACAGAGGTCACTTTTGAAACTARCACCCAGTTCTTCACTTCTAATGGGTCTAAGTCTCTGCATATATTTTGGAAAATTACCTCTATCTTCACTGACAACAGATACCCCRTTCCCAGTGAAGTCAACAGCTTCCATACGATGTTTTGCACCAAGCTGGTGCAGTGACTGCCAATACAGAGCATCCAACAAGAAACTGCCAGAAGAGAGATTTCTGTGTTGGTTTTACATWCAGGTCCATATTATATCATATAAGAGAGCAATGCTGTTCATTTGCTAGCTCATACCTACCATTTTAGATCTTTACGAAACACAATGATTTCACTTAGAGACTTCAGGCAGGACATCMCGTTACAGTGATGTGATGCCTCACACGAAGCAACATCCTAAAATTCTAACAATATGCTTTATGTTCTGTTCAACCACTGCACCATTATTTTGTTAATAACCTCCAGATTCTTTCTTTTCCTTTTTATTATTTTCTGCCAGCAACTATTGACTACAACAATGAACACAGGAAGAAGTGAAAAATAACAAAATTTTAAACTTCTTCCCAGCAGCACAGCTGATTTCTATTCTGGAAATAACTATTAAACATTGTTTTACATGAAATGATGAGGTGATGTACAATAAAGTCTTCTGTCATTAAGTTTTCTTGTCTTAATGGTACCTGGTTTGCCATGCTACCAAAACAGACTCAAGATTTCTCCAAATTTTGCCACATATTCACACAGTCCCTGGATGCATTAACTGAAGCTAAACTCCAGAACAGCCAAACTTCAGAAAAGGCATTCTCTTTGAGAAGAAGAGACAACCCTAACAGGAGAAATAGACTTACACATGAGGGAAAATTCTAGGGAAATCTTACTTCCTTCAGTACATAGACATATTTCTRAAATAATATTAAATTTTACTGATGRGAAATTAATTAWAAACTTGAAAGGAYTGACAGAAGTATAATTTATTATCAGTTTTATTAYATTTCATTTGGTTTGGTTTTAAAAGTAAATTCATGCACCAGACTCCATGTTAAATTCCCCGCTCTTAAAAACTTCATTGAAGTGAAAACTAACTGTTTGAGGATTCTACAATCTATTCAAATCTGATTACATAAAGACATTTTTTATTAYAAAATAAATAATTTTAGGAAATTGMAAAAAAATATGRGARTGTTTCTTAGCTGAAAACTCCTGACATATACAAATAATCAGCTGAATCTATAGCCACACAACATTAAGCCTTTTAGGAACTACTAGATTATCAATATTTTTACTTTATCTGGGAAGAGTAATGTTTTCCAGTAAAACTAAATCAGTTTATTTGTATTTTGTTTGATCAGTTGAAAATGTAAAGCCTCATTCCAGCCAGCTATAGTATATCTCTGTGTGAAATGTCTTTTCTTTTTCTTTTTAACTCTCCAATGAGAATAGRTACTTACAACCAATKAATTTGTCTTTGGTATTTTTTTTMAACTTAACCTTAAAYGAATGCATTATGYTACATWTTTCATCATGTAAAGAGGAAGAATRTCCYACCTGCAAGACTTCTGCTTGCAAGAAACTCTCACTATAATCTGAAAATTATAAGTGACACTGTGTCACTGAAAACCTCTGTGTCACCTCCTATGAGGATAGCTTTGAAAATGGGATTTTTAAATTGACACCTGACAATGCTCACKTAGCTTCCACAAGGAATTCCTAAAACCAAGAACACATTTTATAGTCCTTTTACCTGCACAGTACACAATTGTCTCATATAGAACATTTCTTCTCATTCAAATTTTGTAAGTTCTCCTTTAAACCTGAAACATTGGCTGAGAGAAACCACAGAATGAGATGAGGAAAATTAGATGTTAYTTTTCTGTTATATGGTTAGATAGAGAACAAGAAGCTAAAGACAATTTTACTTTTTTAATTTCCATTGATTTGTGGATGGGAGATGTAGTCCAGATTTAGCAACAGTATCACCTGAAAATAGCTTCACATCGTCAAGTTTCCAACTACTTGATTTCAGCCTATTTTTTTTTACATTTTCAAATATTCCTAATGTGGTTTCATTAGTACTTTGAAAATAATCAAGAATCAGCACGGAACTATTTGCCCTTCAACTACCTAGGAATGATTAATGATTGGGAACACCTTGAAAATGCCATTGTCTAAGTCATCTGTAGTCACTGAAAAAAATACATGCTTTTCAACCAAGTCTTTAATTGTTTTCTCAGCCAAAAGACTAGCTACCTGTTGTTGGCAATACATGGA